ATTTTCATCTCAACAGAACTTTCAGGTAGTATCTATTTTTTTCTTTTTTCTTCTTCTATAAAGCTTCACTCATATTAGTTATGTTCATTAACAACTGTAGCTATGTGAAACCTAAAAGGAATTTGAGTGACTGTCTTCCACGTGATTTCCTCAACATCACACCATAGTCGCATCTAAATATAAATTGCTTTGCCCAATTATCATACAATAAATCTCACTTGATAAAAATACTTTTTAACTGAAAAATGCAGATGTTGCTGAGAATGTTTTAAAATATTGGCTCACTTTGTTGAGCAATTTAAAATAAATAATATCCATTATATTTTCCATCATTTCACTGTGTGCCATTCTTCAGTTCTTAATAAAATGAGAATGCTATGTTGTTGTCATCATTTTATATCATCTTCCTTAATGCCATGGATTTTTGACTATCATTTTCTTTACTGGGAGTGCATAGAGTAGAATTGTTCCTTTCTTAAATGCTACAAAAATCAATGCAAGGAAATGAAAGGAGCTGAAGGAAAGAAGATGGAAGCAGACTGTTAATTGAATCTCAGTTCCAATCTTGGAGCAAAGCCCAACTCTTTCCAGTTCAGTAAAAGCAGCTCACTTTGGAATTCTTTATTCCAACATTACACATAAGCAAGTAGATTTTAGAATCTGAAAACATAATAGTCTTAATTTGAATTGAATCATTATATGGCCTAATTTTAAGGTTCAGGGTAAAAGAAATTTAGAAAAAATATATTAAAATCATTATGAAAAATAAAATTAAGAAAAAATGTGCCATCTGAAAAAAGTTCTGCTTATTCATGACCACATCATCATTGTTTGAACCACAAACTTTGGCATGGATGGATCTAACCACTCGCCAATATTCTATCGGTTGCCCATTTACATGTAAATCCTCTGGAGAGTCCAAAATATCCTTAATGTGCTTACATGATACAGATGTTAAAGCAAAGCATGTGTTAAAATTTTGAAGCTTTTTAAAATGTGAGCCTATAATTTATACTTCAGATTTGTGATTGTGTTTGTTTTCTTCATTTGAGGAACGCTGCATGTTCTCAGGTGAGAAAAATTGGGTCAGGCATTTAACTAATGCAATATTAGATATATCTCAGGTTCCTTCAGCAAGAACAATTATAGTAATAAAATTACTATTGAATGAAGAATGATTACATTATAAAGTCTAATCTAGGGTAAATTTAATGTAGATTTGCTTAAAGGAAATCCAATAGAGTTACAAATCAACTACTACATTTATTCATTCAAATTTCAGCTGAAGCAACATCATAAAATAACACTAAGTGTTTGCATAACTATGTTTTGATTAGAGATTGCAAAAAGATTCAAAGATGATGCAAAAATAGCCCTTTGGCATATTTGTGTGTTATTTTCTGTAAGAGTGGAAATAAATAAAAGAATCATTTGTGGCAATTTGATTTGAGTTTTCTGGAGAATATATCATATATAGAGGATTTATATGTGGTCAGTAAATAGTAAAGTGTTTTCAGCTGTAGCTACAAATTCATTTCTTGGAAATCAAATTAAAAAACAGATTATAGAGGCATAATCTTTAGGATGTAAGCCAACACAGATTTGAAACACTAAGGACAGATAGAAAGTCAAATATATTTATCTTTGTAATTTAAATCTTAAAAGCTAGATTAACATAGTACATCAAACATGTTTGAGGCAATGCCTCTGATAATATCAAGCTCCATTTCTACATTATGAAATTAAATTTGACAAACTTGCAATAAAATGTTTTTTTACATGTGATGTCTTGATTGATTTGAATAATCATTTGAATGGGATATCATAAATAAAAATAATAAAAAGAAAACAAAAATTCAAAGGACAGACTCAGTGGACCACTGGGTCTTTTTCTGCCATCAGTTTTCTGTGTTTCTATATTAAGAGTTCATTTGTTAGTAAATTCAAAGCATCTTGAATGAAAACATTTTAGAGGACCAAATGAAGTTTCTCAGCCAAGCAAATGGAATGACCTGTTTTCCTTCTTTTTGTGCAGAGAGGTGGAAACACCACTTTCCATGTTGAATTAAGAAGATGACAAAGAAATGGCACTGCATAATGATATTTTTATTTATGTAAGAAATGTCAAAATGGCAATTCAATAAATGCAACTAAATTAAACATATTATTATTAGAAATAATAATATGCACACTGGTGCCAGATCATCCAATCTCAAAAGCTTTTCTGAACAGTCAATTTTTTTCAAGCTTCCGAAAAATTAGGAGAACATAGGACATACTTGCTGTGGCAAGCTACTACAGAGAATATCTTCTTTTGAGCACCCTCCCATTTTATTTCTTGGAAGGTAGACTGAACAGGATAGTGAAATTTGCTTGTGATGTGAATTTTAAATCTTGAATTATACATGGAAGCCAATTCAGTGCCTTCAGCAGAAATATTATATTACATAATGAGGCTTCTCAGCAAGCATATGATGCATTTTGCATCAACTGAGTATCCAGATGCTCTGCATAGACAGCTCCACATAAAGCAAATTACTGTAATCCAGCTGGAGGGAACAAGCCTGTGAGTGACCATATTCAGTGCCTCATTTTGCACTAGTGAAGCCAGGTGAAGTCATTCTTGACCATGGTCTCCATCTTCTTTTTCAGCAGGAGAATTCAGAAGTACTTCCAAATTGCCAGCCTGTTCTCCATTATTACATTAAGATGGTACAACCCCAGAGTCAACAGCCTTCTAAAGAAACGGTCATTCTGTCTTCTATGGTTGAGTCTGAACCTGTTTCTTTGTTAATGAGACATATATAGTCACCCATCTTAAATAACAAACACAAAATAAGCAATGAAATGAGCTCCCCTGTTCAAAATCTTCCAGCTCTCGTCACTCTAAAACAACCATTCCCCAGTACATCAACGGTCACAATCATTGGACAGTAGTCCAAGCCTATCCCACTATTTCGGGGAGAAAAGAGATTTTTAAGACTAGAAGGGTAGGGTGTTTGCACAGTGAGAACTTTTACTGAGAAGGAACATGTCCTAGGTTCCACTAGATAATATTTTAGGGAAAGGATCTGGAGCATGTCCATCTTAACTGCAAATGGACAAATATTGTCAGGGAGAGACAGTCTTGCAGACAACCTCTCCCTGGAAAGAAAATGGAAGCCAGTGCAGCTCAAGCAGCAGTGGTATAATGTGGGCAAGCCAAAAGACATGAGAAATTGTGTGTGCCACCACATTTTGTTCCAGTTGTAACTTCTGAATGATCTTTAACAAAGCTCCAAATAGATTCCACAATTGCACACAGCTCTGTACAGGAGAGAGCTACCCATTGAGAATCAGAGACTACATCTCACCAGATCCAAAAGGGCTAAAAATCCAAAGCCAGCCTGTAGCAGGAGTAGCAGAACCAGGGTGCAGAATCAAAAGAGGCAGCAGCGTAGAATCGCTATGTAGCCACAAGTGGACTAAATCCAACCACCTTGAATTTCATTGACTCTTACCTAAATTCAAATAGGGACCTGTTAATTTAAAATATTCCTATGCATAGGTTTTTAGCAATAAATCAGTTTAATTGGACTTTCATATGTGGACTGGTCTTTCACACCTATCAAGTTTGTCTTATTAAGGCTGATTGATAGCTGATTCTTCCCCATCCAGGCCTTTATAGACTCCAGGCATTGAATCAATACCTGAACAATGTCACCGTCCCAGCCAGGAGTGAAAATATACGATTATTGGGTACTATCAGCATGCTGATGCACTCTGTTGCCAAATGACCTCACCAGGAGGATTTATGTAGATACTAAAAGAGAAGCAGTGAGACACCCCTATTTAGAAGAGCCTAGGATCAGGCCTTCTGTCCACCACTACAGAAGAAGAAACAGAATCACTGTAAAACAGTTCTCCCCACTCCCTGAAGCCAGTCCAAAAGGTTAATGGTATTGAAGACTGCCAAGAGATCTGAGAGGTTGAGGATGGTTGATCATCCTGATCCCGAATACTCCAGTAATCAATCACAAGTGTAACTGATACTCTCTCAGTACTGTAGTTTATTGAACCTAAGTAAAAAGTATAATAGGCTTCATTCCAAGTTGCAACCAAGGCCTTAACTGAACCATGCACCATGCTTCAGTGAAAAAATCCAAGTTCCCTTTGAAACCACATTGGGTTCATCAGTTGCCTGGGATAGGCAAAATGAATAGATATTTTTCACCACCCAGACCTAGTCAGAACATCTAATGATTCCCTTATTTGGTCCAGGATATTTAAACATGGATATCATCATGTTGATATGCATCACCCCTGAAAGAGAAGGGTTTTTTTCTTAAAAGGTACATTTAACTTAGAGATCAAGACACAATTATATATAAGCCTAAAGTGGGTTGGTTTCAAGCTCTCTTTATAGATTTAAGCAAATTATTATTATCATTTAATTGGCGTCATTATAAGTACAGTTAATTAGTAGCAACAGCATAGGATATTATCAATTCAATTGATAGGGTTAGCCATTTAATACATATTAAAATATATAACAAGTGGATATATTGAGATCACACTTCACCTGCACAATGAAGTCTTTTGTTTAAATAAAGGGAATCGGGCTGCACAAGCAACAGGTGAGCTCATGAAGCTTCATGTATGCAAGCGGGATCTAGGTTGCATATGCAAAATCGTCCTCCCCAGTCGCCACTTGCTGCTGCCTCCAATGCATGTCTGTAGAGCTAGAAAGTTTGGGGACCACTGCTATAAAGAACTATGGGCAGTAGCCATTGCTCTATTGCTATAGTACTTTGGATTGAAAGTTCTGAGTCTTTCCTATTCCACTCTTGGCTTCTAGTAAATTATTAACCATAAATTATTAACCCACACAAGTTTCCTTCTTTTTCTTTGTGCATTTTCATTTCCATGTATTGTGCATATGTACAAAATAGTTGTAAAGGTTATAAAACCAAATTATTTTCCAAAAGCTGTTTTATTAAATTGTTTTTATATTTATCCAGCAGGTTTACAGAGTACAGACTCCTTTACACGGAGGCATTTTCCACATGCTGCCCACAGAATGGATTATATGGATTTTGAGGACGATAGCCGGGGTTGGCGATTTGACATGGACATGGTGATAATCTACATTTATGCCATCAACTGGGTCTTGGGATTTATCGTGTTTTGTTTTCTTTGCTATTTTTTCTTTCCTTTTTAAGGATTTCTGTTCCCTATTTTGTATGTAAGTGGTAAAACAAAATAGAGACAATTCTGGATTAAAGAATGCAGATGATGTACAATCGTAGCTCTCCTGTATAACAGTGATAAAGCTGCACAACAATAATTCATTTTGTTTTTTGGGTTTTCTAATTTTTATTACATTTTGAAATGAAAAAACATTTGCATATTAAAAATGCTAGATTGCTTTTTCTAATACCTGTTAAGATGGCCTGGTGCTTTGAGTCTGTATTTGCAATCTGTACATAAACGTGGGTAGTTTCATGAATCAGTATTCATAGAGCAGTGAATCTTTACTGACTACCTTCAACTTCTACCTGGTATGTATAAAATAAATATACAAACTATTACCTCACACTTAATGGTTTCTGTAGAGATAGTTCACATATTAACTGCTTACGTTCAGTTGAAATATTTTTTCTCTTCAGCTTTGGAATTCAGTGTGATGTTTTTATATCCAGTACTTATTGCATATAATGGTCATGTTGAGTCTCAGCTTTCCACCTCTTGAAATCATTTCAGGAGTTTCATGAAAGATTTTTTTGTAGTAAAATGTATTATGTACTTTAAGATATATGGGATATGACTTGGGAGAAATTTGTTAGAGAAATGTATACAGTGCCTATGGTGGTCAATATTTCAACAGAGACAATTAGACATCTTTTTATTTGTGGATGTCTGTGAAATTCCTCAAAAGACTCATTGGTTTGCCTTACTGATCAACAGTGTTTATGCTAAGAGCTGATGTTAAATAAACAAAAATCAGATTTAAAATTTTCTACCTATGTATATAGAATCAAGAATAATTGATTCCTGTACAAAGGAGAAGGAAGGAAGGAAGGAAAACCTACAGCTTTAAGTCTGTATATTTTACTGTTTCTAATGTTTTGTGATCATCAACCCACTTTCCCCAAATGTGGGAAGATGAGAGGAAAAGAAGAGAGAGAAAAGAGATGGTCAGAAAGAGAAAGTCAGAAGCACCTCTGATCCATGTTGAAAACGTCTGATTCCTGACTCTTACATGATTGTCCTATAAATTCTATTTGTAAGAAACCTTGAACATCTGACATCTTGGCGAGCAACCTTGACCTAGCTCTTGGAACTCTGCCTTGGATTTGGACTATTCTTGTGCGTGCACCTATTGAAAATTAACTCTTCAAGTAAGCTTTTGTTTTGTTACATTCTTTGTTTCATGTTTATCTCTTGAAGTAAAATTGTTAATCTCCATAGCAATCACGTTTAAGTGTGTGTGTTTGAAACGTAAAGCAAGGCGCAAGATTACAGTCTGATTCAAAAGTTGAAACCAGAAGTTAGTGAAAATCACTGGGAGTCTGCTTTGCCTGCATTTCTGGGGAAAACCTAAGTTTAGGGTTATGGAACAGATTTTCTCCAATAGTCATCAACTTCTTCACTTCTGGAACAGTTTCCATCCCCCAAAAGGCTACAGAGTGATACCATTTCCAACTGCATTGAGTAAAATATGAAGTTTAATTAATTAATGTATAATTATGCAGTGTGTTTTATTTTAAAAAAATCTTAAGAAGATTAAAGTAAATTGTGGAAATACTCTTAATAGTTCTGAACATCCTGAATTGGCTCTAGGAGTTGGAGATGATAAGTGTCAGCCTTGAAGTATTAATAATTGAAAATCGTACCTGCAGTTGATTATATGTACATGTTGGGATCACATTCTTGATTGCTTCATATATAAGTAACAATTCTCTAAAATTCCTGGCCTAATTTATTTTCAAAGATACAGTGTAATCTTTCCATCTGAATAGTCATGATTTTAAGTAAATGAAGTTTATCTATGAATTCGCATCTCTAAAATACTTGTTTATAGACTCCAATAAATACAGTGACTTTCTCAAATGTCTGAATCCAGAGGATTGGATATATACTGTAATCATAATCAGTATAAAAAGTTCTTAAATTACAATGGCAAGAATTGACTTTTGGATTCAGGTGTATGTTACTGAACAATTGGGAATATTACTTTAAATTTGAGGAAAGCCAGAAATTTTAGTAGTAGAAATGGGAATAGTATTGATATATTTTTAACTCTGTGATTTTTTTGTAAATACAATTCTGAAATATTTAGGCTTAAGTCTGTTTGTTAAGTAAACTATCATAAATATGCTGTTAATATACTAGTGAGCCTTCTGAGACTTGGTTTAATTTTTGGAATAATTTTTATCTTGGTTGTATATTTTTATCTATAAGGTTATGGTGCTTATAGTAACTTTTAAATTTTAATCCTCATTAAGAGTGTTATTGTATGTTTGAAGCAATTAAACTAAAAAATTTTTGTAAACATATAGTTTTAATTTTCATTTTTTATGCATAGAGAACTAAGAAGGAGGTGTTTTTCATATAAAGTAAAAAGATTTTACTGATATGGAAGCTCTACATGAAAAATTAAGGAGTTCAACAAATTTAATTGTAAATTTCCCATTGCATATATGCTTTGCAGCACTAATCCAATAATATCAATACATAGCAATGATTACAGTGCAATACTCTTTAACATTTTTTTTTCTGTTCAACCATGTCTGATTCTCAGAGACTGCCAATGCATCTATAAGTGTGTAGGGATGTGTGTATGTGTGTATATCCATGCTTTCATTAAGACTGTATTTGAGAGTTACAGTTCGTACTATGTCCTGGTGATCGTTGGCTAGAACTTTGAGCTGCATCCAATGTTGATCTTCCATTATTAGATTATAATTATTGAACAAACATAATTTTTAAACATCTCATCACATATGTACAAACTCACATGTGCATAAATGTATGGCTAATAGTGAAACAGTTGAACAGTTAATATAATAAAAAATAATAAAATGGCATGTATGAAGTAATTCAATATACACTGTTATTTTTTCGCAATTTAGGAAATGACAATTTTTGATTCCCAAGTGGGGTTTATCTTCTCAGATCTTGTATTCAGATTTACAAACAATGGAACATCATTAGCTTGGCAAGCCTTACAGTGGCAAACATTGAGAAATTATTAATTCAAGCTAAAACAGAAAGGCAATTATTCACTTTATGAAGAGAAAATAGCTTGCTGGGATACTGGCCCTCTAGCTAACTCATAGTTTTCAATATGCTAGCCTAAAAATACAAATATTTATAAAAAGAAGAAATTACCTAAATATCCAAATATGATGTGGAAAATGTTACTGCAAAAACATCAGATTTGAAAAATAGACCAGGAAACACCTGAATGCTTGTGCAAATATAGCATAATGGCAGAACTGATCAAATCAGAGAATACAGATTAACTAGATGAAAAGAAGAACAAATATAGAAGATTCATATCTGGCTTGTTCAAAGGCAGTCATAAAGAGTTGTATGATCAGATAATGCTCTCATATGTTAGAAGGTTTTTTGGGGGGGGAAACTACATTATAAAATCAAATATATCAAATATATAAAGCTGGCAAGTATAATTAAGATAATTGTTTCCTGAGAAAACCAACAAGCTAGTTTCTGAACAATAATCTGATCATTATGAGAAAGGATTGAAGATACTCACAGCACTTTTATGCAGTTTTTGGAAGAGGTTTGCCATTGCCTTCTTTCTAAGGTGGACAGACAAAAACTGATCCAATGACACCCAGATAACTTAATGCCTAAAATGGGATTAAAACTCCTAGTTTCTTGGTTTCTAATCTGTGCCTTAACCATTTCACCAACCTGGCTTTATTAGAAACAAATTAAAAATAGTATTGCTGACAATGTATGATGTATAGTTGAATAGATACTCAGCTGAGCACAGCAAGATTGGTATGAATGGATTTTCAGTAATACCGTCTTTAGTTTAGCCAGATTAATCTAGTTTAGTATAGCCAAATTAGATGGGTATTCCTATCTCGCATGATTTCTGTCCCAGATGACAGAAAAAATCTAGAGCTTTTGTATCTCTCTGCTCCTTCATCTAGATTTTTGCAAACTGGAAATTGTAACCATACATATGAAATCCAATGGATGTTTTTGAATGTGTTCATTTTTCAAAGGAGATTTAATCTTTGATGAAAAAAAAATAAATATAAAAAAGATTATCGGCAATAAGAATATAAATATGCCTTTATAAACCACAGTATCAGAAAACATAGTAATCAGAAAATTAGTAGTCCATAATTTATTAATACAGTAATGATGAAGAACTTCTATAAAACATTTGCTCAGCCCAATGTTAGCTGACACAGTCAATTCAACAAAAGAACAATTGTATCACATCGTGCACCTTTTATATTAGTTTGGAGTGCATAAATTTTCAAGGCAAAAAAGTAGGGCAAAGTGAGTAAGTCTTAAGAAGATAATATTCAGGGAGACAAAAGAAACATTCAAGTGATTATTTCAAGTCCCTTGAACAGTCATCTTGCTACAACTCTAATATTTGTAGACTTTTACCAATATCTTTGAGAATGCTAGTTAGTTATAACTCAAATCTATGTAAAGGAATTTAGAGCTGACCTTAGGTATAGGGAAACTACAAACAAGCTGTTAAGAGAGAAAGGGATGAAAGACCCACAAATAGGAGTTTCAGAAATGTTTATATAGTCCTGAGAATGAGGAAAAGCCAGCCTGCTAGAATTGGGTATGTCTAGTTTAACGAAGAGAAGGACAAGGGGGGACATGATAGCAGTATTCCAATATCTCGGGCTGCCATAAAGAAGAGGGAATCAAGCTATTTTCCAAAGCACCTGAAGGCAGGACAAGAAGCAACGGGTGGAAACTAATCAAGGAGAGAAGCAACCTAGAACTAAGGAGAAACTTCCTGACAGTGAGAACAATTAATCAGTGGAACAGCTTGCCTCCAGAAGCAGTAAATGCTCCAACACTGGAAGTTTTTAAGAAGAGACTGGACAGCCATTTGTCCGAAATGATGTAGGGTTTCCTGCCCGAGCAGGGGGTTGGACTAGATGACCTCCAAGGTCCCTTCCAACTTTACTATTATTATTATTATAAGTATAAAAAGAAATGGAAAGAAATATTGAATGGAGATAGACTAAACCCATTTTCTTGCTTATGCTTCTCTTCCATTTCTTCTGACTCCTTTGTTGTGATTTGTGTTATGTTGCTTATCCAGAAAAATGTCTACGAAGATTCTCAGTCATCCAGATCAACAGGGAGGGATACGGACTTCTGGTTTGACGTCGTGGTGTGATAGACACAGTAAGATGGGACTCTGTCTTCTGCATTTGATTTTGTCCCGCTGTGAACCTAAAAAAGGTCAAAAGCTACCCCGAAGAGGCGACAGACAAGGAGGCAATACTTGTTGATCACGGGATGGTGGCAGCCCTTCAGTTTGATCCGAGGAAGCGCTCTAAACTGACGGGGAAAAGACTGGCCACATTTGTGTGGCCAATCAGAAGCTGCTGACAACCAAAGAAAATAAGCATTAACCAACAACTTTCGAGCAATGTGGATGGAACTGGGTGAGACCCTATCCTCTCTTTATGACTTTAAGACTTTTTCCTGGAAAAAAATGCCCAAAGCAAAGAATCCTCCCTGATGAGAAAGGGAGGGGAATTTCCACCCCATTCCTTCAGGAAAAGAAAAGCAGTGAATTAATTGCTTGGGAGAAAATAGAGAAAATTACAAGATTAATTTGGAAGCAATACACATATATAACTTTGAAATTTGGGGACTAAAATTGCTTTTGATTTTTTTAAAAAAAGACTTTAAAAGCTTGTAATATAAGTTTGGATGTAAAAAGCTGGAAGACAGCGTCAATGACATCTAGTGGCAAGCTAAAGCACTACAATTTATTATGTCTAAAAGAAATTTGGCTGGAAGCCCAGACTCAGAAAAGACTCTGTTGTTTTCAGAAACTTTCACTTTTGAAGACTGCAGCTGGGAAAAGGGGGGAACCTCTTGGGCTGCATATATGTGTGGCAGAGACAATAAACTATTTTGAAACTGGCCTGCCTGGACTATAAATATAAATACTGACTTTTAGAGCTGTGTCATGAAGCTATTTCCCTATAGAAGAAACATGCATTATTGATTGAGATAATGGAATTACTTTGGATTATAAACCTTTGATTGATGAAGTATTTTTAATTGCTCTTCTCTCTCTGGACAGAAAGGTTGTGTTTTTCATTGGACAAAAAAAATTGAAAAATTCAAACTTTCTTTATATTTTGCTGAGGGGAGACTTAAGGACAGATTGATAGGCCAGCTGGATAATTAGGAGTTCAAATGACAATTGACTAAAACTTTTTAAATCCCTAAATAGATTGGACTGTAAAGACTACATACAAAAACAAAATGGATGTCCATACTTAGCTTCAAATGGTAAAAAAACCATCCCTAACACCTGTCCCCAAAGTCCCCAGCTTGACATACTAACAAGAAAATGTTGATGAATTTCAGAAAGAAATTCTATGTTAAAATCAATAAAAGAGACAATTGCCTTAGCTCATGATGATACAAAATAATACAAAGGAGATAAAAGAACAATTCTTTAAACTAAATCTACAAACTCAGAAAATGATTACAAAGAAGGAACTAGCAACCCAGAAAATAGAAAGAAAATCAGAGAAGCAGATCCAAAAATGGAGGACCTAAAGAACAGACAGATTCAGACAAATGAAGAATTAGAAGATATAGCAATAATATGGAAATGGAAAAGATATCTTACCTGTCAAGATCTCAGAACACACTTGAGGATAAGAAAGAAGAGCTAATTGAATGGAAGATAGAGATGTTAGGATAATTGTGGGAAATTGGAGAAGGAGGGAGGCTGTTTAATGAATATCAATTAGCTGAGCATCCATCCAAAAATACTTTAATCAAATTGTCTTTCTTATTCCAAACAATATACAAAAAATAGAGGAGGAATTATTTGATTCAAATGCATTGACTTGGAAAGTTAGTTGGCAAAAGAAGAAAGCTAGAGTAAGACTGAAGAAAATAGATGTTTTGACCCATTAGATGGGATATTATACTATTAATCAGATGTTTGAACATGGCTGAGAATAGATAATCGTTAGAAATAGAGGTATTATAACTAGAAAGATAGGATTTATAACTAGAATATTATATTTTAGTATGAGAAGGGAAATATGAAAACGCTAAGAGGGTTTGAATAAGGGAAGCTTTTGGTTACCCAAATATAACTTATTATGAGAAATTATAAGCATAGAGACATTTTGAACACTGATGGGAAATTAAAATGTTTTTTAAAAGCGGGAAAACAGGATATTAATTGAACAAATGGATATTAACTGCAAATGCAATTAAGATATATTTTGGTTAGAAAAGATATCTTAAAACAACATTATTGATATTATTAAGAAAATGTAACAAAGATGTTGATATTCAATTATATATGTATTAACAACAATAAAAATTGTATTTGCCTAATGTGGGAAAATGTGTACTACTGGAAGAAGAGAGGAAGCATTGGATGGTGTAATATTGGGCCTAGATTGAAGAAGCTAATATGTACCACTGAATTACTAATGGACCCAAGACAACACGTTGTTTATGTACTTATGTACTTATGATTGTAAAAGTAGAAAATTAATAAAATATTTATTTAAAAAAAGAGAGGGAGAGATACAACATCTATCTTCAGTCTACAACACAATCCTGTAATCAATTCCAAGAAGGCTCCACACCCATTTGCACTACTCAGGTGACCCTGATGACAGAGATAAGCGTCCAGGTGGCATCAACTACTCTCTAAAATAATGCAAATGACCAGCCTTTCTACAAGGAGTATAATTCCTTCCATTTCCCACCATACGGTCAGAGCTGAAGAAGCTTCTTGGATGAAAAGCGAAACATCTTCAAAGAAAAAAAGAAAGTGCAATTGCCTCGTGAAAAAACACCTTTGGGA